ATACTGGCTATGTAGGAAAAGCGGGAGTGAAATTTTTGAGAATAGTACAAAGTGTGGATTCAGACTATGAATTAAGATAGGTTTTTTTTTGTGGACGGTTTGATTTTGGATTTGTATCATAACCTGTCCAGAGCTTTCAATTTTATCTTCTGGAACTTTGGATTATAAATATGTCACAACCGAGTAATAATTTCATGTTTAATTCTAAATGCCTATCACAGAATTATGATATCCTAACATAGATGACCTGAATATTTTAGAAACCTGTGTTACGTATTCATTCATCTACCCATTCATCGAATATTTATAGAGAACCTACTATCATTAGGCATGTTCTAGGTCCTGGGAAGATTGTAATGGACAAAGGAGAACAAAAATACCTGTTCCCATGTAGTTTACGGTGAGGGACTTTCCGACTAAGCAGCCAAATGAAGCTTTATTTGTTTCTCTTTATCTGTTACATTTCATTTATCCATAAATAATCTAAAACTTACAGAGAGAAGCACAATACAACAGAAAAAAATTTAATATAGATAAAGAAAAAGTAAAACTAAAAAAACTCCAGCAATGATAGTATAACCTTGGTGAACTTTTAAAAAATTCAGAGTAAATAGCCTGAAAGGCAGTTAGAATAATTCTAAGGTAAAATAAACTGCAACCAATGGTAATTAAATAAAAAACCCCAATATTTTCGAAAGCATAAAAATCCAAGTCCTTTAAGACACTGTTTTTTTTTTTTTTAAATCCAAGGTTGTGTCACAGAATATCAGGAAAAGTTCTTAAAAAAAAATTAGATCCAAAAAAAAAAAAATTAGATCCCTGGATCCACCTCAGACCTTCCCAACTATAAATCATACAGAGCCCAAAGACAGGTAGTTTTAACAAGCCCCAGAAGCAGTCCGAGGTGCATTTTAAAGCCACTGTCTGAGGGTGGGAATTTCCTAGATGGCAGACTGAGGGGTTCTGCAAATATTCTTACTCCTAAAAAACCTATGACGATGGAAAGTACTGTCAAAAACAACAATGTCAGACCCTGGTGATCAACTGACATCAAGCCACAAGCTGAGAACTGTTTCTTCTTGGGAGAGAGCCCACGGTGGGCAAGAGGCGGGAGGTGTGGGTCTTCCTGCCTTCCTGGTGCTGCTCCCACCCCTGCCCCTCTCAGCTCAGGTTCTGGGGTGGGAGGCAGGTGGCCTCCTCCCACAGATGATGGCAGGAAACGCCACTCCCAGGCATTGTCAGAAACGGCAGTGCTCTTGGAGGCGAGCGGATGCTGACGGTCAACCTCTCGGCTAGCCTGAGATAGCAGTCCCACTGGGGCCACTCCCAGAGGACCAGCTGTTGATTTAACTGGGGATCCCGAAAATGAGAGAACCATGGAGGGCTTTGCACCACCTTGAACATCCCTGCCAACTAGCAGGACCTAACAGGCCTGGTGGGAATGAAGAGCAGAGCAGATCTGAAAACCCTGTTCACAGTCCACGGGTGCGCCAAAAGGGGTTGGAAGCCTTATTGGATTGAACTGTCGGAGAGCAACCTCTGGCTAATCGTTGGCCACTGAACTACAGAGACCCAAGAGCAACCTCAGGAGATGAGGCTTAGACATAACAGTAAGAACCAAATCACAGCCTGGAACATTACCAAAAACATAATTAAAAAAAAAAAAGACAAAGTTGTTACACAGTTCTGAAAAAGGCAGCAGAATGAATTCCTATTTGGACTGTTCTTCATTTATCCAACCCTTATTTCGATTTGTTTTACTCTGGACCAGACACTGTGCTCAACGCCCCAGTACAATGGCGGACATGACTGATAGGGTCAAAATTGAACAGTTTACATCTAGAACTAGAGTCTGCTCTTCAAGAGCTCAGGATTTGGGCAGATTTTGTCTTGTACACAGTCTCAAATTTCTAAAAGTGCATGTTTTTTAAGACTTACATGACCTATATGATACACTTGACCCTTGAACAACATAGGGGTTAGGAGCACTGAGCCCCTGCACAGTTGAAAATCCATGAATGACGTGTGAACCTCCCAAAACTTAACTAGCAATAGCCCACTGTTGACAGAAAGCCTTACTCTTAGCAGAGCTGATGAACATATATTTTGTATGTTATATGTATTATATGCTGTATTCTTACTGCAAAGCAGCAAGCTGGAAAAAAAAGAAAAACATCACTAGAAAAATCGTAAGAAAATAAAGTACATTTTTAGTACTGTACTGTGTTTATTAAAAAAAAAAATCCACACGTAAGGAGACCCATGCAGCTCAAACCTGTGTTGTTCAAGGGTCAACTATATTTTAAGTACCAGATTTGAAGGAGTCGAACGCATTACCAGATAATTTTAAGTGATAATAGTTTGTTTCATTTGGTACGAAGAAAATAAGATTAAAATATAACAAGCGCATCTATGTTCCAGTGCTGGCCGGCTCCAATACTTTCTGTTTGAATAGTCCTCGCCAAAACATTCTAGATCTCAGTTTCATTATTTATAAAGTCAAGCAGACTTGACTAGATTTCTGGAGTGACTCTTTAATCTCAAATCTATGACTCAAATCCTAAGCGCATGCAGTAATACACGTTAACCTAAAAGCCATTTATAAAGAAAACCTATCCAGGCTTACTTTAATGAATACGATCCATCCATAATTAGCACAGCATTTGTAAACACGTGAACACTTTAAGGTAGAATTTAAAGAACTATCTTCTTAAATGGAGAAAGCATTGCATTTGGAAACTTATTTGTAAGAACTGGCAGCCAACTTTAATACACGGTATTCGAGTCAAAACTTGTCATATTCACAAAAATTATAGAGACCATAGTTGACCAGGTTTTACTGTACCTGGAAGGTTGGAATGTTGACATTATGACCCTCAACATTTATTTTTTATTTACTTAATGAATATCATATAGTAATCGCTGTATGATCACTTTATCCATGTCAATTCATTTAATCCTGAACACACTCCTAAGAAGAGCTACTATCATTATCACATCTGTTTTACGGATGAGTAAACTGAGGCACCAAGAGGTTGAGTTGAGCTGCCTAAAGCATTAGGCACCAAGAGGTTGAGTTTAGGTTAAGTTGCCTAAAGCATTAGGAGGCAGTAGGACGTTAATGTGCTCGTGGCTAGTAAGTGGCATATAGGCTGCATCAAAACTCATGCCAGCTGGCTCCCAAACCCCATGCTCTCCTTTACTCTATGTCGCCAGAACTCATAAACCAATGGGCTTAGACTGTTACACAGAATATCCAAAGAAGGAAATTATGGCAGTTATTAAAGGAAAAGACGAATCTTATTTCCCTTAAACATATCCACATAGCACGCACGCACTCACACGCACACACAGTCCCTCAAAGCCTCACATAGCTCTCATGCGTTTCCCAAAACCAAATGATAAATTTGACAGATTGGAAATTTATATAAAAAAAATCTATAAATATAAATATATAGAGATTCCCCCCCCCCAGAGAAGCGGGGGTATGGAAATTAAGATCTTCAGTGTTTTTAGATTAAAATTCTCTACCTTACGCTGTTTAACGATCCAAAAATGAACCCCATAGATGTCACGTCATGAGCAAGTAGGTTACGTATATAATGTCAATTCTACATGAACGCTATGCAGTAGCACACTAACCAGTTTTATATTTTAACATGTATATGACACATATGTCTTTTATTTACCAATTTAGAAGAACTGTTTTTCTAATTTAAGGGTCCTCTTTTATCCCTGCCTTAAATAAACAGCAACTGCACCTGCCAGATAATTCCTGTTTGTTGAATCAGCGTAGTCCTCTGGTGCATCTGGCCTATAAGATGGCTATGCTCCTACTCTCCCTACCTGGTGGCTTTGTTCTATCCATAGTGACGTATGCAGTCTTTTTAGGCACATCCGAAGATTTCAGATTCAGATTCTGAATTCTTCCCATTAGTGCCGGGAGATTATTTCTAAAAGAAGTTTTTTATATCAACCAAGTGCGTTTTATATGGCCGAGATGGTCATGTCAGGCCTCTAAGACATCCTCATGCATTTATCAAAACATCACGATAGAACTCTACTGAACAATGAAAATGCCAAGAGACATGAAATGCGGTAACAGAGAGGGCTCAGAAATCTCTCATTTGGTGGGGAACACATGCAGGCACAGGACAAGTGCAGGCAAGCATCCGCGTCCCCAACGAAAGACTGCAGCAGTTAAAAAAAGAAAAAAAAAAAAAGTGGAAGCCAATGCTATGCCGGAAAAGAAGCAGCCCTCTCTAGAGCATCGCAGGACACTTCCTTCTGGGAACAGAGAGGCTGCCCCACGCTAGCTGGTGTGCTTCTGAGTCAGTCTTTGCAGCAGAGACACAATTTCGTTTAACTTTTTAATTAACGTGTGTCCTTGCTGACAGACATTGTAAATGAGACACTTTTTCCTTCCCATTATGGCTTTTACACTTTAGATTTAATTACCGTGGAAATGAATCAAGAAACATGACTTCAGGCATAGCATTCGGGATGTCGGCAGAGTAACGACACTAATTCTATCAAGTATCAGTGTCATCCCATCTTTATGATGAGGGACGCGAAAATCATTTTAGGAGGTGACCGACCCGGAGACCCTATAAGACATTAGGAAGATCATCTGTGAACTGTAGTTAGGAAAGATTTTGTTTGGGTAACAACTTAGTTTTATTTTGTGCATATTCATAATTACTAATATGCAAAGAAATTGTTCTTCAAGTATTATATATGGAAGGACCAGAGCCCTTTACAACTTGGATCTAAATGAGTTAATAAGCTATTATCAAAATCCAGCCACCTTCTCCTTTTATTGCCTAGTAGAGGGAATACTTAACATTATTTTATCTTTCATGCCACAAGCTATGAGCCATGGAAATGCAGTGAAGTCACTAAATACTTAGTCTGCCAGTAAAATATGTATTTGGAAAAAAAAATGAAACAAAGCTTTAACATGACCTTATAAGAAAGAAAGTTGAAGACATATGGGCTACCTTCTCATACAATCCAGGGCTCGGATAAAGAAGTCCTTGTGCAACTGGTGCTCATCTCTCAAGATTGAGCACTGCTCAAGAGTCACTGACATCGACGTCCTGTCTTTGGCGCTTTTGCAACAGGTGAAACGAATACCGTTTAGTTTGCGACAAATCTGCAACACAGGCATATAAACAGTTTATTGCTCATTTGTAGACGACTCTAAAGTGTCGGACTCGTCTAAACACTTCTTATCTAAACACACCAAATTTATGTTAATTTACGATAGTCAATTGGTTCAATCTGCCCTAGCGAATGAAAAACATTATCTTTTCATTTCAAAAGCTAGTGGAACAGATTGGATTTATGTAGTTCTTTGTATATGATGTGTGAGGTGCGGGGCTGCTGAAGCCGGAGGAGGTGGTAGTGTCCGGCAGAGGCAGCTGTGCTCCCTGAGAGGAGGCCCGGCTGTGGTGGATGATGGTGACAGTCAGGGCTCAGGAGCGACGCCTTAATCGTGAAAGGAAGATACAACTGCACTTCCTGGACCAGACACTTGATCTGAATCCTACGTAGCTAACATCTTCTTACTTTACCTTTAAGAAACATTTGCTAGTTTTGGCTTTAGGTTATGAGATTTCAAACATCCACATGTTGCCACTGCAGCAGGTAACTGAACTGCTAGCCAGCCCCTCATCGATGCAACTAGTAAGAGTAAGGACACCAAATGGTCACTGTTAATCGCACCTCTACTGTACTGGGTACAACGCTAAGAAAGTTCATAATGATTGGCTCTTTCATTTATTTTTAAAAGATTTTGTTCGTTGGTTGGTTGGTTATTTGTTTGTTTATTTATTGTTTATTTATTTATTTATTTATTTATTTATTTATACAGGAGCAGAGGGAGAGGGAGCAAGAGAACCCCAAGCAGATTGATTGATTTATTTATTTATTTATTTTATTTATTTATTCATTCATTCATTCATTCATTCATTTAGGAGCACTGGGAGAGGGAGCAAGAGAACCCCAAGCAGATTCTGAGCTGACCGTGGGGCCTGATGCAGGGGCTTGATCCCACAACCCTGAGATCATGACTTGAGCCGTTAGCTTCTGTCCTTTTCTGTTTCTTTTGTTATCCCAACGTTATTTAAGAGAAAAATCTCTGAGCCACAATTATCTCTTGTCTCACTGCCCTCTGGTTAGCGGGTGAATCATTCCCTTCTCTTCTCTTCCCTGTGCCATGGCAGGTCTCGGATATGAGATGCCAACACTATACATTACTATCAACAATGTTAATCAATATGTGCTTAAAATAAATCTAATGTGATATAATAGAGTCTTGCTTCATTACCTGCCATCAAGGAGGCCTTAACAGTTATCTCCTGTGAGGAAAAGATATACTAACACGCTTTATCAAGGGTTTTTTTTTACCATGTTTTAATTGTGATTCTGATATCAGACTAAGATTTACAAGTCCTTATTAGACCTTTGGTACATTGTCACCATTTCCAATATAAGTGATTCAAGAAATATGAAAGCACGAGCATAAAATCTCTTTTTCATCTGGAAAACATAATCTTTTCAAATACAGTGTATTTCAGAATTTTTAATATAAAATAACAAAGACTTGGCTATATTCATAATAATGAAATATAGACCTCAATGGCCATGTATGTGATAATGATTTTTAAAAAGAATGAATATTCTTTAAAACGTGTTATTTCTATTATATGCCACTATCCTAGTGAGGATAGTTAGTGTTCTAAATTTAGCTTCAAGAGGAGGTAAGGGCAATTCAATCAGAGGGGACAGGCTGAGTGTTGGTTTCCTTATTTCTATAGCTCCTTTGAACCATATGAACTTCATTTAATTCACTTCATTGGCATGTGGTCTCCTTAAATTCTTACTTTTTATTTCTTAAAGCCCAATCAAGACAAAACCAAGTAGTTTCATATTTTTTTCAATGAGAAAATGTAAAATAGAACACAGCAATATTTAACTAATAGATTTTTAAAAGATAGGTGAGAAGGGGCATCTGGGCGGCTCAGTTGGTTAGGCGTCTGCCTTTGGCTCAGGCCATGACCTCCAGGGCTTGGGGTGGAGCCCCACGTCAGGCTCCCAGCTCAGCAGGGAGTCTGCTTCTCCCTCTCCCCCTGCTCTCCCCCCCGTTGTGCTCTCTCTGTCTCTCTCTCTCTCTCTCTCTCTCTCGAATTAATACATTTTAGAAATAAATTAAATAAATAAATAAATGAGAATGAAATAGAGACAAAAGCTTTTTGGGAAATGTCAAAGGGAATTTCTATACGTCTTCAAATGCAAAATATTATCCAAGTCCTTGAATTGCACAGAGGACATTGAAACTGAGGTATCGCCCTACAGAAATGCTGTAATAATAAAGCCAGTGTTCCTACGCAATGCTCAGCTTGCACATTATGGGTGTCTTGCATTTACCAAGGCAGATAATCACCCATTCAACAGTTAGGTCGTGAGAAAGCCATATTTGGTGAGTGTTTAAGTTTCAAAAAGAATATCCACGAATGAATAAGACTCATGGGAAAAGCTTTTTTTTTTTTTTTACATATTCAATCGGTAAAACTACATATACGAAGAGAAAATGCACATTGGCGTTTGCACACGTACATCCTTCACTTAGCAATTCGCATCACTCCATCATACGTATATGCAGTGACATATGTATTTGTTCCGAAGCTGTCAGAAAGCCTTGGGAAATGATCAAATTACCTTCCTATTATCCTATCATTAGTAAAATAGCAAAAATAGCTCACGACCTACCTTGTGCGATTTTTGTGAGAACTAACAACCATAGCCGTCTTTGAAGATAGAAAGAGCAGACACACCGGGGGGGAAAGACTATTAAAAACAACCTTCCTGCGCTGCAGTGTGGGGCTAAATGGGGCCGGTGTAAATGAGCTGCCTGCAAGCCATGTCTCATATGGTTACCTTTGATGTTCCTCCCTGGGGCTCCAAGAGGGCATGAAGGGAAGCTAAAGCAGCTCTCCCCTGCCTTGCTCTCGGTAAACTATTTTATATAGACTCATGGTAAATCATCCATTCCTTTTTCCCAGAAGAGGGTAAGTCATATTGGATTCTGACTGACCACTGGCAGTAGGGATGAGGCGTTGTTTTATACGCTGTTGATACAGAAGGAATGGAGTCATGTTAGATCAGTCGCTGAACCCCAAATTACACAAGCAACGCCCGCAAGTACGGCATTCATCACAAAGATCTCCAGCGTGTGCCTCTTCTGATGAAAAGATCCTCTCCTTAGGAAAGGATCTTCGGGTCTGACTGCTTACCAAAATTCACAACTTCGTGTGAGCTATGCCTGAGTGGTTGCCAGAGAAGAGTTTAAAACACAGGCATTATTCTCTCCCTCCCTGTGCTGGAACCGGGGGTGGGAAATGAGGCACAACTTCTCCCCTGAGGGCACCACTACATGAGGAAGAACCGTAGAAAATACAGCTCATCACCCCAAGAGCAATCCATCGGTAATAAGCTCTACGCTAATATCTAAATTGACAAACGCATTACCAGCTCCTTAATTGAACAGTATGTCCAGGAGGCTGACGGAGGCCGTGCGTGGGATCCGCTAGCCGCACTCCGCTGCAACCGTCTGTCTCTAGGGCAGCACCTCCTCAGCATCCTGACACGGGCGACTGACATCACAACAGGTGATGGAAAGGAGACCACAGACGCTTCATTTGAGCCTCCAACTGTCCAACAACACCCAGCATCCACCAGAAAAGCCAAGAGTAAAATTCTTTCTCCTTGAGAGCCTCCTCTTCCACCTTGTGTTCTAATGTACTGACAGAGCTACCACCAGCACTGAGAATGGCTAATCCCCTAGATGATGGAGGATGGCATCCGATAACCCAGAGTGTAGAGGTTGGACCCCACAGCCCGGGTACCCAGGGATGCTCGCTGGACATCATGGTGACAGGGACAAAGATCTGGCTGGAGAGTGCTTACCGTTGCAGCCAGCCACATGATTTCTACATTCTTTCTTTTTTTGGCTTGGATATTTTGATGGAGATTTTCTAGTAATCCTTTTAAATCATTTTGTTCTTGAAAATGTGAAATGTCTGAGAAAAGAAAAAAAGAAGGAAGAAAGGGAGATAGTGTTAATATTAAGCTGCCCATGGAGATCTGCTCAATGTACGTGCAAGTAGAATTTCCATAACAACAAATAACATTTGGAGCAGAGAACATCTGAGGATAATCATATTTATTACTCTGAGGATAATCATAGTTATTAATCTCTCCGGCTGTATTCTTTTACTTAGGGATATGCCTCAGTTTCCTCCATGACCTACTCTGTGCTATTGTGGCAATGTCAATCTTCATATACTGTTATTTTCCTAACAAGGGAAGCATCTTTGATGACGCTGGCTGCTGCCGGACTTCAACCAAAGCACGACACAATATGAGGCAGGAGATAGAATTTTATATCTTAGTATCTTATAACCACTTTTTGCTACTAAGCAGCTAGTCTGAACCAAGAGGATATGTTAACCCGAACACCTCAGGGGTGGAAGAAATCTGAAGGTTCGGATAAAACACGCCAAGTCAGCTTCTAAGCAAGATTCCCTGACCTCAGCACTACTGACTTTTTGGACTGGGTAACGTTTCGTCGTGGGGAATGGACCTCTATTCCGCATTGTAAGGTGCTGACCTAAGCATTGCTGACCGCCACCATTTAGAAACCAGGAGTACCCTTCCTGTGACCACCAAAAATGTCTCCAGACATTGCCAAATGTTCCTTGAGGGCAAAATCTATCCTGGTTGAGAACCACTGCTGTTGAGGAGCCCAGGCATGGCATGGAGAGAGGGAAACCATGAGGGGTGAGAGTTAATTATAAGAGATAATTAGACAGGAAGCAGGAAATGACTGATTGCTCAGATCCCTACATCCTAATAGCTAAAGCACAGGTAATAGATGGGATGCATTTTATATTAAATTTTTTTTATTTATTTATGATAGTCACACACACAGAGAGAGAGAGAGAAGCAGAGACACAGGCAGAGGGAGAAGCAGGCTCCATGCACGGGGAGCCCGACGTGGGACTCGATCCCGGGTCTCCAGGATCGCGCCCTGGGCCAAAGGCAGGCGCCAAACCGCTGCGCCACCCAGGGATCCCTGCATTTTATATTAAACCTAAGGCAACGAACATTATGTCACAGACATCCTTGACACTTGGTGAGATGGGGTCAAGACCAGAATTATAAAGATGGAAACAAAAAGGCTTTCTAAGAAAGTTTTTGGATTAATGCTATAAAGTATGAAAACGTGCTCTACTGTTGAAGCCACATCGTGAGGACGGAGAATTCCTAAGAGTTTTCATCGAGGCTGAAAACAGGAGAAAATCCGTAAGAATAGCGTGGACTGTAGGTAGGCTCTCCGGTCACAGCAAAGGAAAATTGATATATTCCTGAGTCGGATTTCTCTCTCACACATACACCTGCATATACACACACATTCACACACATACACAAACACGACGCAAATAAACTGTGATCATAACGTGACTTCATGATTCCCCAAACTGTGCCAGGTGTTTCACTGTATTAAAATAATACATCTGTGAAGTTCTTGACTTTAGCTCCAGAGAGTGGGGAAGTATCCTGATGAACTATTCTGGGGATCTCTATCTAACGACGAGTGAAAGTGGTTGGTAAAATAAAAATATTCATTGACAACAATTATATGCCATCTTGAATGTCATGACTACAGAATAGGGGAAGGTCAAGTACAAGCGAGATGCATACCTACATTAGGGTGATGGTAGTAAAAATATTCATATGAATTACGTGCATGATTCCACTGCATTAGTTACTAAATGGAAAAAAGCCCATCAGAAGTCAAACCCTTATTATGTAACTATAGGTGATTCTCTTAAAGACAAGGTTTGACTGAAAACATCACATTGCTAATAGAGGAGACTCTGAAATACAGAAATTTTAATAGGACAAAGCCCAGAGACAAAGAGAAGGAGGCATCGTAGAATGCCTTGAAGGCAGTACCAAACCAGCTCAGGACCAAGGACAACGATGCCACTTTTTTCACTGATACAGCGTGAGAGGAGAAGTCAGGTCTACCATCACTGCCCTTAAAGAACTGACGTTATAAGCAGTCACTTAAAATTATGTATGGGCATATCATTAACAGGAAAGGTGTCCTTGGCATTGTTGGAAGGAAAAATTGGCCAGATCAGTGAATTGATTCACTCCTACAACATTGTACGTGTATGTGTGTGCGCGTGCTTACATCTCCCCATACAAGCATGTAGGCAGAGCAAGGCGTCAGTCATTGTTAGGCTATAGGATTTAGAGTGATTTTTTCAACTGCCCTTTCATGTCATTTGAGACATTTAAAATGAACTTGTGCTTTTTTTTAAAAAATAACGTTATTTTAAAAGAAAGGGAGAGCACAGTATATGCGTAAGAAAAGGAGAGAACCAAAATTCTTAGGATACTAGAGCTGACCTCAAAGTCTATGGTTCAGTAGGGTGAGATAGGTTTTTATTTTATTTTTTATTTTTTTTTATTTTTTTAATTTTTTTTTATGATAGTCACACACACACAGAGAGAGAGAGAGAGAGAGGCAGAGACACAGGCAGAGGGAGAAGCAGGCTCCACGCACCGGGAGCCCGACGTGGGATCCGATCCCGGGTCTCCAGGATCGCGCCCCGGGCCAAAGGCAGGCGCCAAACCGCTGCGCCACCCAGGGATCCCGAGATAGGTTTTTAAACCACTACGAACTGTAGTGGAGTCTACTGTGGGCTACGGCAGTAAGTCGGTAAAAATAATAACAGGGACCCAAGGGAAGGGATGCACAGTTCCATGAAGAATAGTCGGATGTGGACGGATTTCTAGCAAAGATAATGCTTTGTGGCTACAGAACGCATGTGAGGCCCAAGGAAAAACGTAAGCAGAAGTGTGGCGCCGTGAAGCAGCACCGTCGAAGCAGCGAGCTCAGAGTTCACTATGTCCTCGCAGGGCCTGGTCCCAGAGGCAAGAATTACAAAGGGCCTTTTTTGCTATGCTGGGAAATCTGGATTTCATCCTAAAAAATGAGAGCAACTGGGGAATTTTAAATAGGGACATAACCATATCTGAGAGGTCCCTGAGGTACTTTCTGAAGTCACCTGGTATTAATGTTTTTGGATGTTTTTGGAAGGAATACGGAATGAGGATTTTACCCACAGCATCACGCACACACACACACACACACACACACACACACACACCCTTCTGTAGCAAGCATTTGATGAAATATTTACTCTTAGTGCATACACTGTTCTCTGAATATATTCTGTTCTATTCCATGTGATGATGATGATGACGATTGTCCCAAGCCTCAAAATTGATGTAACAACATAGAGTCAACCTAAAAAATTTGCAAATTACTGACTCAGTGCAACCAACCCCACGTCCAAGATGCTTCAGTGACTTTCCTAAGGTTCATAGTCAGAGGAAGTAAAAAATTCCAGGCTCCAAATTCCTATGCCAGTAATTTTCCCTAAATCTGTGCTAGGGTCCTCACAATTAGCCGGTGGTACTAGAAGGCAGTTCCAATATTAACACAACGAACCACTTCTTCAGAATTCTGAGAATCCAGGATAAAGTACAATGACTTTTAAAAAATAATTTAGTTTCATTGTTGATATGAAGATTTTTTCCATCAGGCATTTAAAATAGACCATAAGGATCCAAAATGGAAGCCAAATGAGGGTCTTTTGTCTATTTCTACCCCATAAAGATAGTGCTTTAGGATAGCTAGACATGATGTCCCATCGAAATTTCACTCCTTCCCAGGGCATGCTTTTTAAAAAGAAGTTATCTTGATGTTCTTAAAAATTTTAGGCCACTATTTCTATTTCTGTAATGATAAAACTTGCTTTATTCAGAGCACATCTCTACCAATTCAACACTTTAGTTGTTGCCAGTTTTGTTTTTTTTTTTTTTTTTCAACCTGACAAAAATCCTACAGGTCATGGAAATTTAGGTCTGATTCTGGAAAGAAGTATCGTTAATAATAACCAGTTTGTGGATTAGTAAGTGAGATTCCAAGATATAATGATAGATTCTGATAAACCAACGGGAAATCCTGGGATACAGGAATATGAATCGGTTTTTAGACTTAAAATGAGTTTCTTCACATGTAAATAGAGCCAATAAGTCTTGCCTTTGTTACTCACTCCTGCATTACTCCAGCACAGAATTTAGACAGGGTGATTGAATCTCCATGCCTATCTCAGAGTATTCTTTGTTTCAGATGGGGTTCAAGAAAGTAATCGGGTGGAAGGTACAAGAATGTTCACTGCATTATTATTTATAATATTAAACAACAGCAAAAAAACCCATCTAAGTGTTCGTAAAGAGAATGGATAAATTATATATTCATGAAATATAATATTATATATATTATGGGTAAAATCAATAAATATGCTGTACTATATACGTCTATATCAGTATGAATATAGAGTAAAAATTATGTTGAGGGGCCCCCGGGTGGCTCTGCCTTCAGCCCAGGGCGTGACCCTGGGGTCCCGGGATCGAGTCCCACATCGGGCTCCCTGCAAGGAGCCTGCTTCTCCCTCTGCCTGTGTCTCTGCCTTTCTTCCTGCGTCTCTCATGAATAAATAAAATCTTTAATTAAAAAAAACATTATGTTGAGCAAAACAATAAAAATTATAGGACTCATACAAAATAATAATATGAAGTTAAACATGCGAAACTACATATTTTTATGGATAATATATATATGGGGTAAAAATGTGTACGAGAATGTAAAACACCAAATTCAGGTTATTAGTTTTCTCAGGGAAGGAAAGGTGAGGGATTGGAACTGGAAGGGGTGCAAAAGGGGCTTTCATTCTACCTGTATTTTTTCTTAAAACATTTCTGAGGCTGAGTGATGGATTCCTTAGTGTTTGTTATCTCATGATCTGTTCCTTTTTTGTTTGTTTGAAACTTTCATATTTTTTTTAAAGCAAGCACGGCGGAGCCAAGATTCCCGGAAAGTGATTTCCAATGCCAGCTCTGTCCCTGCTTTGACATGTGGCCGTAGGTGAGTTGCTTA